CAACACTTATAGAGGACAGACCAACGACGAGACCGGAAACCACTGCTTCTTTGATTTTCCATTCTCTAAAAGCTTGTATCTCTATTCTCCATACCTTTGAATTAATAAAATACCCGGCAACTGAAGCCATTGAAGAATGGACGTAGGTCGAATTGACCGAACCACTATAAATCGTGTTTTCTTTAATTTCTCATTGATTTCACTGCATTTATTACCTACACTTAACAGGTGGTGTGAAAAACCATTTTTGTGGCATCATCCATCATTAAAAAAAGGATTTGATTATGGTACTATAAAAAAAAAAAATTCAGTACCGTAACTCACACAATTTACTAAGGAGTTTTTACAACTAAGAAATTTATTATTTTTGTGGTTTATTTACTATTTTTGTGGACATTTTTACCATTATTGTGGATACTTTTATCACATTTATGGTAAACCATTTTTACTAATTTTCTAAAGTAAATTTTTTTTATCACTATTGTGAATTATTTATTGTATTTGTGAGTGTTTTTATCACATTATGAATATTTTACCACTATTGTGATAACTATTTTTATCATTTTTTTTGTTATCACAACGATGATAAAAATACTCACAAATGAGTATCCATTGAATTAAATATTTATCTTTCTATTAAGTAACACAATAAAAAAATTAAATAAATACACTAATATATCAAAAAATACACACACTAATACATCAAAAAATACACACATAACACTAATACATCAAAACACACACTAGCACACAAAAAAAACATTAATACACCATTCATGACCCGTGGGTTGACCCATGACCCCATGGACCGATTCATGGTCCACAGTCAATCCCGAGCATTATGTGTGTGTATTTTTTTGTTATTAAATGTGTTTTAGTTTTATGTTAGTATATATGTGTGTATTTGTGGTGTATTAGCGTGTTTATTTTTAGTGCATTAGTTTGTGTGTGTTTTGGTGTATTAGTGTGTGTGTATGTTTGTATTTTGGTGTATTATTAATGTGTGTGTGTTTTAGTGTACTAAATGTGTCTATTAAAAATTTTAATTATTTTATGGGTTAATGAGTTTAACCCAACATGTTATAAACTCAACTAATTATAACCCGTTTAATACCTAGTGAAAAATGAATTGAATTTATTTTAATTCAACCTATAACCAACTCAACCCACCCATTTGTCATCTTTAAGGACTTAATGATTGTGGCTATTAAATTGTCAGTGGGTCTCAGCATTAAATTATGGGTAATTTAGAAGTTGATACAAAATTTTAGACTTATTTGAGCTAAACTACATTAAAGAAACTTATTTGACCCTAAGTGCTTTTTTTTGAAAAAAGACTAAAAGGGTATTTAATTATGATTACTCTATTAGTCTCTCTCCTTCTCTCTCTCAATTACTCTTTTACTCTCTCTTCCCTATTTTCTCTCTATCTATTTGTCTCCCTCTCTTTCTCTCATATTGATAATTTTTTTAAAAAATATGTAAATATTTGATTTAATTTTTTCATCTTTCTCTCCCCCTATTTTTTCTCTCTCTCACTCCCTCTCCCTTATTTCCTTCTCTATCTTTTTCTCGTTTTTTATATCAACATTACACAACACAATTATACTAATCAGTACACCAATTAGTTATAATTATCCTATTATACACTAAACAGTTATTCATGTGTTCTAATTAACTAAACAGTTACACTAAACAATTATACGAAAATTACAATAAAAACAAAAATTTTCATTTTGTTATTTACTTAAATCAAATAGTTACATTATTTAATATCACGACATGGTTACACTAATTATATATACCAAATTGAGTTTATCATTACACAAAAGACTTTACCATTATACTAAATTTGATATATATGATTGGTGTAACAATGTCGTGATACTAAATAGTGCAACTATTTAGTTTATGTAAACAACTTAATGACAAATTGAATTAATGTTATAAATTTGTGTAACTGTTTGGTTTATTAGAATGTATGAGTAACTGTTTTTGTGTATTATAAGACAATTATAACTGATTGATGTAACGGATTAGTGTAATTATGTTGTTGTAATATTGATATAAATAGAGAGAGGAGAGAGAAAAAAATAAGGAGAGAGAGAAATTAAGGGGAAGAGAGAGAAAGTAGGGGGAAAGAGAGATGAAAAAATAAATCAAAATTTACATTTTTGAAAAGAAAAAAAATTATCAATGACAGATATAAAGAGAAAATAAGGGAGAGATGAAAGTAATGGGGAAAGAGAGAAAGATGGAGAGAAAATAAGGGAGAGATAGTGAGAGAATCTAATGAAATATTTACATATTTGATTAGATATATAACTGTCAATCAATAATGCATAATTTAAGGGAGGATATTTACATAAAACAGTTTTGATTTTATTTGAATTTTGTACCTAAACACAATATATTTTATTAAAATTAAACTTAATAGAGTAAATAATTTATTCATATATTTTTTCTCAAATAAGTTTAAAAAATTATACCTACAGCCAAAAAATCTTTAAATTATTAGTAAATTTCAACACTATTAATCCAATTGTCATGATATATTAAGTCCCTAAATTATGTCATCAAATTATGTCTCAATAGCATTAATGAATAATTAGTAAGGTTTAATCCGTGGGCCCACGGAAGTATATCCTAGCTATCCACAAATCCTTGACAATGCAGCCGACTGGATTTGCTTGGTTGGATGCCAAGGGTTAAAAAAGATTAAAATGCCCTCGATTAACTACTACAGATTCAAATAAGAATTTTGTAACAGAAGAGAAATCATCCACAAATGAGTAAAGATTATCTCTAGGAAATTTCATTACATTATTTATGAAATTTTGATAATTACATTTTTCAATTTGTTTGGCAAATGTCTTTTCGGAATTGCCCTGTAGCACCCAAATTTTTTTTTTTGGAAGTGTAGTAGGAAATTTCGCAAACCGCATATACTTTTGTTGCAAAGTAAATCGTTTCATGTGCTTGAAACAAATAAAGTTCTACGTGCTTGAGGTGTTAGTTTCACCCACAATTCCCTGTCATTTTTGGCTCATGAGTTAAAAAAAATCCTATTTACATTTCAAGACGAAAATTTTGACTTGCATTTGAATTTTTGGAATTCATTTGATTTTAAAATTTGTTGTTTCACTGTTAGACTTTGGCATTTGATATTTCATTTGAATTTCGTATATATTTTAATCCATATTACTCTTAAAAAAATATCCAAGACATATATTATTGGCACACGGATCAAAACATACTCTTCAAAAAAATGCATCAAGTGGGGTCGGTCACGTTAAGAAAGTAGAAAAAAAAAGAGTTAATTAGGGTAGAGTCCATCCTTTGGTGTGTAAACTACTTATAGTTCTATCGATTTTTTAGTATAAAAAAAAAGTCCTCTAGTTTTCTAAAAAACTTGAATGCGATCCCTATGTTTGTGCGAATATTAAGATATTAGTTAGTTACTGATTTTCATTATCCATTTTGTCCTAATCACATGATTTCAGTGTAAAATATAATTATTTTTTCTTTTTCTTTTTTACGTTTGTTATTGAGAATCTGTGTACTTGTCTGATGATCTATTTTATTAACTGTATTTTTAATATACTTGTTTTACGATCTGTATACCTACTTGACGATCTGTATTTATTAACTATATTTTAGAGTACATGTCTAACAAATCTGTGTTTTTTGGAAAAAATCTACATTATGATGGCATAGGTTCTTAGAATATGTGTTTTAATTACGTGAAGATATTGTCGTTATTTTTACATTTTTAAAGGGCATTAGTTGTGACCATTGGTTTAACTTTTCAACAAGAACATAATCCAAAAGAAAATTGACTGAGTTAATTTTTTTAAGAAATCCTATTGATCCTAAGGACAAACCTCCAAAAAAACTCAAAAGAAAAGTTTTTAAACTTTTATTTTAGGAAAATAGTTTAAGCCAACTTGGAGTCTCAATTGTTCCAATGAAGGAACTTTTGGGGTTTTATGTTTTGGGAAAGTTTACAATGCCAAAAAGTCTCTTTTCAGTGCCATATTAAAGTAACAATTTGTTAGTGTTAGTTTATAAATTTTAAAGATGAAATTGTCGTTAATTGAATTTATTCATATTTAAAAGTAAATATTGTGATCGATCATAAAATGTTACAATCGAATACGAATAACTTTCAAAAAGTATAACTTGACTCTTAAGTATCTTATTTTTCTGTTAGATACCTCCTGACGTATCATCGATTTAACCTATGTTTTATCGTCAATTGTCATCGATTTACCCTATGTTTTATGCTAATGTATAACTTTGTGACGATTCAATGTCTTACCCATAGATTCTTTGGAAGGCGAATTGTCTGATAAAGAAGCCTTGTGATACATGAACTCATCTATGGCACCTTCAACCTCGTTAGCTAGATCTCTTATGTTACCCACCCATATGTTCTCTCCTTGAGTGAGGACCCCCTTTTTATCAACATCTAGTAGAAAATATCTCATGCTCATAAACTCCTGCTTGATTTCATCAAGCTCATCACTAAGCACTCCGATCAGTGATGCTTCATGGATATGGGGCTATATCGCATATATAATCAGCATAATTGACTAATTGCCACATATGGATATGGGGGTACATCATGCACATTCGGTATCGTCAATACCACATTTCAATTGGGCGCGCATCACCGTTATGCTGAATATTTACTATGCTGGTCGTTAAGCATGTTTGTCAAATACTTAAAACGACACCATAATTAATACAATTAAAGTTAGCATCAAGGCATAACACAATCAATTAAATGAGTCGGGTTATGATGAAATTGTACGCACTCGACACGAATCCTAAATGACATGACCCGAACAAAAGTAATAGAAGAATTTTCAGGAACTCATCCAAAGATGCAAGATTCATTCAGAAGGACCTTCTAGATGTGCTGAGGAATAGAAAGGCCTTAAAGAAAATCAAGAGCAGTCCCCAGAAACAGAGAAATTTTTGCTGTCATGGCAGCAGTCAATTCATGTCTGATAGCCTGCTGTTTTTTTTTAATTCATTTGTTTTGTCGATAGTTTGTCTTTTCTCACTGATAAACAACCATCGTGTGTAGAAGCATGTTCACTTATAAATAGTTTGCCTCAATTGAACTAATGGTAAGTCATCAATTATTGAACAAAATTGAATGCACGTGTGCTAGAGGGAGATCTGCTCTATTAATTCCAATATTCCTACATTATTATCAATTTGAACCTTAAACTATTCCCTTAGTATGCCAATGCTATTCTTTTTCTTCTTCAATACAACTAACTTGATTAATCTGTCTCTTGCTTCGTGTCTCCTTGGTCCTGGTCCTCAATCCCATATTCCTTAATCATCAAAAAAGGAATAAGAATAATTATAGGCAAATCTATATGGTTGTATATGATCACATTACGGTCAATTTTCTTTGGAATTTAGAACTGCTGAAACTGCCATGTGAATCTCATATTCCTTGATTCATCACTTTAGGTTCAAATCACCATTGAATGCAACTTGCTAGAGTAGCAACACTGTTCGAATAGCCTATGAATGTTAGAACACTCTTACTAGAATTTGACAAGAATCCTCAGTTAGTCACTAAACTCAACCGATGATTCAATAAATATACCAACGAAAACAATCACAAGCACACTAAGATTTAGATTGGAAACTTTCCATTGTACAGAGAAACAACCATGGAGCAAACTTCAAATCAATCCACTTCAATTGACAGACACGGTAGTTTATTTAGATGATTTTTGTTTACATTTCAAACCACATTACTCATAATTTTATCACTGGTAATAAAAATATTCATGACAGGTTCTTTAAAAAACACATCAAGTGGGTCGACCCCATCCAAGAAATTGGAAAAGAAAAACACTTTAAAAAATGACTTGCTTTTGAAATAATATTTCAAGACGACTTGGGGTCTCAATTATTCGATGTACGTATCATGACAACTAGCAAAGCAACAAATTGATGTCAATGTTATAATTAAAAATCAACTAAATAATTATTTAAAAAAAAAAAAAACACAAAGTGGGTCAGTCTCATTAATAAAGTGGAAATAAATGTGTTTAAAAAGTAACTTTCTTGTGGAAAGAATAGTTCAAGGAGACTTGTGTGGTCTCTAATTGTCCTATGCACAATCCATGACAATTAGGATAGCAACAAATACACGCTAGTATTACAATTAAAAATTAAATAAATAACTTTCCGAAAAAAAAAATTAAATAAATAATTAATTTTTGTTTAAAAAATACACCAAGTGGGTGGATATCATTAATAATGTGGAATAAAATATCTTTGAAAAACGACTTTCTTTTCAAAAAAACATAGTTCAAGGTGCATTGCTGACACAGTGATGAAGACATATTCTGTAAAAAAGTATGTGATTTTCTCTCTGCCCATGTGCTCTTCCAGTGGTGCGGCTTAATTGATAGAAAATGTCAATAGTGTTGGTTGCCCACCGTTTGTGAAACTTCCCGTTGATTTTCGTTCAATGAAGACCTTAGGTTATATGTTTTATAGTATCCGATTAGTTTCAATTATGAAGTGTTGAACATGCATGAAAAATTATATACAAGGCAACGAACCAATGCCTTTGACTCAAGGATTGATTTGGAGAGCTAAAAGCAAGAACAAAAAATGTAAGAGAATCAATGAAGATCGATCCATAGCTGAAAAAGATCGATATACAAGATGAATAAAAGGTGGACAAAACAAATAGAATAATTGATTCAAGAATTCTAAGGATCAATCCCATGCTGCAAAAGGAGATTGGGGATTTATATGGATCAATCCCTTGTTGAAGTTATCAAATATTGGACAATATATGATTAAGGGCAGTTTTTAATACTATTTTCTTAAGACATATTTCGCCCCGATAATTGTGCTTCTGTTGAATGTTTGCCTCCTATGATATAAAGATTTCATTCACACAAGTGAAACACTACAATCTGTATTTATTTAACAATGAGATATCCCTTGCAACCCAACTCAATGACCAAACTTGGGTATATTACCTCGTTATTTTTTTTTAAATAAACCTATAATATCTAAGTTCACTTTTCATTTTTCAAACTTATTTTCAGCCTTTAAATGGGATGTTTTACAACTAATTTTTAATTTACCTCTTAATTGATTCGAGTAAATTACTCTTATTGCATAGGAAAATACATTGTACCATGGACCAGCCTCAAACTATTAGTGAGTCCCACATTTATTGAGTTCAAAGTAGACCGAAAACTGATTTTGTCTAACCACATATGATTTTGTTTTAACTATGATGTACCCTTTTAAAAAAATAGCCATAACCTATGCCTAAAAACAGTGTGCAATTCAAAAAAAAAAAAAAAACAAACATTGATCGAAAAAACGAAACAACCCTATCCAACCCTACCCTACCCTATTGAACGGCTAGCCGCAAAAATCGAGTAGGAATGCGGAAGAGTTTTTGGTCTTTCGACAATTTTCGGGTAAGAATGCGGAATAAACATCCGTTTTCGCATTCCTACCCTATCTTACCTGCAATAATTTTTTAAAATATATATATATATATATATATATAAAAAAAAACCCTAATCTACAAAGTCCCAAGAGCGCCTGCACCTCACACCTCACTCGATCACTCCACTGCTCCTCCTTCATCGTTCCAGACTTCCCACCCAGGTTCTCTCTCTCTCTCTCTCTCTTTGTGATGTGGTCTGGCTTGGAAGGTCTGATTGCAGACCTTCATCTACAGTAACAGATCGATTACATGATTTATGGTGAACTACCACAACGGAGTAATTATGATTTTAATGTATTTCATATGGTTTAAAGTTTAAACTTAAATTAATTGTTATTGTATTTGTGTAACAATTATGGTGGATTGATGTTCATACTTTCTTGTATTTTATTATAATTCTTGTTATAGTTGTTTTAGATTTTAGTGTTAATTGATTTATTGTGTTTTTAAATTGGTGCATGTTATTTAATTAAATTATTAAAATGATCCAAAAATTAATTGTTACAAAAATATTTACTTGACTTCTTACCCGATTAATCGGGTAGAAAGTCGGGTAGGGTAGGCCAAGAAAAAACTCTTCCGCAAAGTATCGGGTAGTAAGACGGAAGAACATATTTCCTACCCATAGTATTACCTTTATGAAGATTATTGTAAGACAAATTTCAATTAAGAGATGGAGAAAACCAAATTTTAATGATCAAAATCTCATAAATTTATATTGAAAGCGCATAAAATTTAGATTCTAGAAACTAAATACGTAAGTAGTGCTCAACAAGAGATTCTCAGTTCAAGAACTGTCCTTCATTTGTTTAACTTAATGTCATCACTTTAGTGAAATAGAGTGAGTCAGAACGCTTTGTTTTCATTCATTAGAAGAAATGTTTGTATCTGAAGGCACTATATTATGCTAAACAAAAAATCGTCAATATTTAAATTGTTTATTCTTCTAAAAAATTTGGACAGAATTTCTTCTAAAAATAGGACTCTAAAAAACTATCAACCTGTATAAACAATCTATAAAACGATAATTATACAATTCACACTTTATAAAATGTTAATTAAATAAATAAACTGTGACACCTGTACGACATTCCTCAAGTTATATTGCACAAATTCAATCAAATTGTGTTTGCCTAATGATGACCAATAAATCAATCTATGTTTTCCATACAAATGACCAAGTAAAATATGTTTCAAAAATAAACAATATGCTTCTTTTATACATCTAAAGTAGCTGAAAACTATTGTTCCTACATGAACAACTAACCATAGCTGCATTATATGAATACTTGAAAAAATGACTGGCCAAACATAAAATTTTGTAGTACAATCTTATGAGCCCAAAACCAACTGGGCCAGGCCCAATAAATTAACCAAGTCCAAGTCAGCTAAAAGGCAGCCCAAGCCTACTTTATCAATCCGACCCAGTCTAAGATTTAACGAACTTGGGAAGATAAAAGCACGTGAGAGAGAGATTATCGGGCACTCATGAAGATCAATCCTACCTTAATTGTACTTACCAAAAAAATAGTGCCTTCTTACTTACGTCACCGCCTCACCAAACCTATATATTGTAAGCTCTTTCCACATGGAGAGATATCAATCTTTTCCAACACACATCTCTACACATTGAGCTTTGCCTCTTTGCACCTCCCTACACACATAGCTTGTCTCTCCTAACTAGTGTAACTCTCTTGGAGCATACTCTCCCGATGCTGTCTTTGTTACTTTATTTATCAATAAAGACCTCTGGCCAGTGCTATCATTTTTTGAGAGTGTAATAGGTCACCTGGATCGAACCACTATATATCTGTGTGTTTGCTCATATTTACTGTTTTGCCATTTCTTATCTTATTTATTGTTAATTAATTACACCCCTTTACATACTCGACTGTTGATCTTGCATGAGACCAATTTGTGCATCATCAGTTTGACATCATCTGTGAAAAATGACTAGGTTTTTTACTCTCTTTTAATCCATGGCAATCACGATCAGATCAATGAGTCAACAACCTGGAGACCACAACCCGGCCTGCCGAGAGGAGGCTT